AGGAAATGTAATGTTTATATCTTTTTGTGCAATGGTTTCCAGTAAACCCTCTATTGACTGTTTAATATGTCATTATTATGGTTCCTTATAATATATATGATAAAAGCTTCCACCTTTCAGCAAGTTAAGTGTTCTTTTTGTCACAAGTGTATTCTTTTCATGTTCATGTACATGTATAGGAGGCCAGGAGTTGAACAATCCCCATAGACATTAAAATAATATACATGTATGCTTCTTTTTTGTGGTAAACCAACTTGCTATACCCCCCCCCCCCCCCTTTCCTAATTATTCTGTATTCTTTATTTGTATTGTCCATTTTTCTGTAGTACTGGACCATTAATATTCTCTATTCTGTAAACCCCATCCAGACCCTCTTACATGTAGTTCTTCCATGAATAGATGAATAGTAATGATTCAACAATAGTTAAGTTTCAAGATTTGGAAAGTTCAGTGTGTCAGTTCATCTCAATTCTGCATGTTATGGGGCCATGTTTCAGAGACCCTAATGATTAAATCCCTGTTTGAAGCAAAATGTCTGGCCCATTGGAGCATTATTCTATAAGGATAAATTATAAGGTATTAATATATTATCTAAGATATTATATATTATAGTTTAAATTGTTCAAAAGTACAAGTTACATGTATACAATGTATTTGAGCTGGTTTGTTTGTAATATTTCTTTTCAAGATGATTTTTTTGATGTTTTTTTTTTTTTAATTTCAAAGAAGATGAGGAGATCAAAAGATCTTATATAGTTTGCAATCAATTTACCTATGCAAATTTTAAAAGATAACTCATTTTTAAAGGTCAAGCATTCATTAAAAAGGCAGTTTGCTGTTCTTTAATTTTAAGAAATCAATACTCTTGTAAGACTTGTTTGGGCTTAATTGTTATATAAAGCAATTTCAGAAATCAAGTATTATTAAGTGCATTTTAAAATATAGCAAATAAGGTGCATACAATTTCTGAAATAAAATTTGTATGCCTTTCCTACAATTGTTACAAGGCTTGGCCACTTGGGCATTATGTTTTCTGGTCTGTGTGTCTGTCTGTCCATCAGCTGGTTACACATGTTCATTATATAGTGACCTTTTAAATATAAATGCCAAATTACGGTTTTGACCCAGAATTCACAGTTTACTGATCATGAAAATGTACTAGGTTAAAGTTTTGGTTAAAGTAGTTTGTGGTCACATCAACTTAAAGAGAAGTAATATACATGTTTATTATTTAAATAAACTATTTAATGTATATGCCAATTAGGGTTTTGCCAAAATTTCACTGATTTTGCACATGGTGTCCTGTGGACATGCAAATATTCTAGTATTTGTCGAGCCTGTGACTTCTGTCGCAAAAAGCAAGACATAGGAATAGTGATCTGGCAGTGGCGAAGTTGGGCAGCATTAAGTAACTACTTAAAAGCTTAATATTTCAGAAGGTAGAAAACCTGGATGCTTCATACTTTGTATATAGATGCCTTATGTTATGATGTTTACACTGTCATATGTTCATTGTCCTCATTTACAAGGTTGAGTGACTACTTGAAAAAAAGTGAAGATTTTTTGTAGTGTTAAGTTCTCTTTTATTATGAGTAGAAGGATAACTATATTTGGTATGTGGGTACCTTGCAAAGTCCTCGTGCCTGTCAGACAGTTTTCACTTGACCTCAACCTCATTTCACAGATTAGTGAACAAGGTTACGTTTTTGTGGTCAAGTCCATATCTCAGATGCTATTAGCAGTAGGTGAACTATATTTGTTGTATGGAATGATTGTAAGGTGAACATGTCCAACTGGCATGTGTCATCTGACCTTGACCTCATTTTCATGGTTCAGTAGTTAAAATAAAGTTTTTTGACTGTTGGTCTGTTTTTCTAATACTGTATGCAATAGGTCAACTATACTGGGTGTATATGTCTGTCTGGCAGGTATCATCTGACCTTGACCTCATTTTCATGGTTCATTGGTCAAAGTTAAGTTTTCCTGATTAAGTTTGTTTCTTAGATACTATATATATGCAATAGGTCAACTACATTTAATTTAAAGCATGGAATGCTTGTTAGGTGAACATGTCTGTCTGACAGGGTTCATCTGACCTTTACCTCATTTTCATGGATCATTGGTAAAGATATAGTTTTCATGGTTGATGGTCTGTTTCTTGTATACTATAAGCAATATATATATTGATCAGCTATATATTCAGTGTATGGAATGATTGTAAGTTGTACATGTATTTCTGGCTTGGTTTATCTGACCTTCAGCTTGGTCTCGTTTTCTTGGATGTGATACTTGTAGTAAAACTTTATATTTAGAACTATCAACATAAAATCAATTGTTTGTCAGTAAAGCAGGCGAGACATTTCAGCATGTGCACTCTTGTTTATATATATGTAATAGGATTTTATTTATTTTTAGTGATTATTTATAATGTTGGTGCAAAAAAATATTTAACATGACAATTTCTAATGTTAAATTCTATTTACTAGCAAAAAGATAAAAAGAGATGAAGAAAAAACAGTCATTTATCATATCTACATGTATTAGTTCAAAAGTTATGATTTTACAGAAACATGATTAATATTTTATGAAAAAAAGGAAAATATATAATGAAATCCATGTTTATAATGATGTAAAAAACATAATTTTCATTTATCATTTATCATTATTTATGCAAAAAGCCACAAATGAAATATGATATATTATTTTCCAGTTAAAAGCACAAATATTTTTCTCAGAAAAAACACAGAGTTATGCATTTTAAAAGGAAAAGGAAAAAAATCCAGATATGTTATACAAATATGTTATTTTCATTTATCACGAATAAAAACCACAAAAATGAGACAATTTGTAATTTTCTTCAGGGCTAAATTTGTATTAAGGTAAGATATGTATCTGAAATTTAACACCTGATGTTAGTTTCATCTGTCTGTATCCTCAAGTTAACTGTACTAGATGCACCTCTTTCTGGTTTCTAAAAATCATATATATATATATATATATATATATACACAGATATATGGATGACTACCACCATGACCACCGTTTGTAGAATTTTTGTTAACCAACATATTTATAACAAAATGTTTGACATGAGGATTTTTGTACTGTTGCTTTGGATTTTGTGTTATTGATTAATCTTTAATTGTTATTGCTGAAAATTTATGAGAAAACTATAACTTGGATACATTTCAGGGGAAAAGTGTTATGGAATTCTTGTTTTTTGTGCCTATTTCCCCAATTTGGGTGTGGAAAAAATATTTAGTTGTACAGGCTTAAATAATTGAAACTGTATATCTTTAAAACAAAAAATTAGAAAAAACGTCAAAATTATAGTCCAATTATTTTCATGATTTTTTTTTTAAAATGAACTTTGATTTAAAAATTAGATTTTTAGAGTGATACTTTTTTTATTATTCAACATATATTCAAATATGCTAGAATTTCTCTATTGATTATATATGAGTGCATGTTCATATAATATTGCACTTCATACATGTATTTATATATTTTTTGGTACATCATTAAGGACTGTAGCTAAGCAAATATTGTTAAATATCTGTAAATAGTTTCTAGCAGAGGACTATTATATATTTGGTATGTTTTGAACAGTTTTGATAAACAAGAAAAACAGTAAGGTAGTTTTTGTTACTTGGTTGAACCGGTAATAGTCTTTTTATTCATGATAAATCCTTGAAACATTTTTTTGTTTTTCGTACATGTATAAACATAAACAAATTGCTTTGGTTGAACTAGCTGTAAGCATCAGCAACTCATTGTCAGTCTGTAACCAGTCTTTAAGGGTTATTGAAAGATTGTTATCTGTTCTGTATCTAATAAGATAGATTACAAATCAATTAAATCAGTTATTTATCCAAAATTAATAATCAGTATTACCATGATTATATAGTTAATATATCAACCAATTAAATCAGTAAATTTTCCAAAATTAACAATCAGTATTTACTATTATCATGATTATATAGTAAATATATCAACCAATTGAATCAAGAAATTGATTGGTTTGTTTTTAATTAAAACCTCAACATGTAAATTTTATGAGAATGTACTAACTGTTCTGTGTGATAGATCATTAATGAGATGATTAAGAGTGTTTTGTTATGGTGGTGTTTATTTTCTGTGGGGATATATGTGTCTTGGTTCTATTGACAGTCATTCTATTTTGATGGATTGAATTACTGTTGTGTTATAGCATGGACATATTATATTGACTATGTTACTTCCATGGTTATCTTAGCTTGTAGATATTTATTTTTAACTAATGAAATTGTTTTACACTTTTATGTTGTACTTTTTCAGTATGTACATGTATTATTCAAAACATTGAAGCAATTTGTAAATTTCTTGTGTCCGAAGCTCATGAAGCTCTTTTATTGATTTTCCTTCATGAGAAACACTCACACCCAATTAATTAAAAGCCAAGGATGTATAAGCACCTAAACAAGTTAAGCGCTATATTACCAAAAAGAGTTTAAAGTATTTTTGGTGAAAATTTTATGTATAGGGTACACATCAGAAAGGGTGTATTATTATGTTTATCTTACTCAAATGAAAAAGGAACCAGATTTCAACCTAGGTTTCTGGTAGAGTTGGTGTTTCTCAATATTACGTTTTCTCATTGTAGTGTATTATTCTTTTTTTATTTTTAAATCTTTTGACTATCACATTATATCTTTTTTTTTTTTGGCTTTTAATCTTTTTATTGCCCCTTGGTACTCATCGTACTGTATCTTCCTTTCTTTTTTTAGGGTGGGTCACTTTAAATCTTATGAATAGGGCAAACAAATTACTATGGACTGCATAACAATTTTGTTGAAAATACTGACCGAAAAATTAAAGAAATAGGGAAAGCTTAACTCATGAATTATAAAACACACCAAAACTTTATAAATGCACCCTCAAGCTCATAAATATGATCATTAAGATTAAAGTTTGCAAACTAGACACTTTTATGTGATAATTATTCTATTGTTTATTTTCAGACCAGATGATTTTAATGTTGACTATGACCCTACAGAGGTTCAGAGAAGACACCATTCCAGACGTGAATTACGACATGCCATGTCAGAGATTTTACCCAATGACTTTCAATTTGCTGCTCAGAGAAAACGAAGTCAAACAATGGAGATAGCAAAGGAACATGCATATTCAAGACTTCAGTCCGAACTCAACAAAGCTCAGGAGGTTAATTTACAATATTTGTTATATTTTGAAAACATGGCTATTACTGAGCATTCATAAATACTTGTAGGATAACCAATTTTCAGTGATTTCGTGGGGACAGGTGAACCACAAGGTTAAGTGTACAACACAGTACAAAAAAAATTTCTATATGCTTGTATGCAGACTTTTGTAAAACCACAAAATGAAATATCCACGAAAATACAATGTTTCCTTAACGAAAATTGGTACCTACGAAAATGAATGAATCCACAGTAGCTAATAAATCCCTTGACCAGTGAAGCTGAGGGGGATTATAAGTTTTCACTCTGCCAGTCTACCATTCTGTCTGTCACTCTTTTTGTAATGCTTGAATCAGTTGTTTACATATTTAGTATAAAATCATCTCATCCCTTTTGTGGGAAAAATTTGGCTGATTATATAGGGAATCACTGAAGCATGACTGGAGCGGTCCCCCTCTTAGGCAGTCAGTGGGCCCCACTTATGAAAATTTCTTGATCCGCCACTGCACATGGACACATTCCCCATTTATTTCAATCGTAAGCAACCCAACACTAGCTGGAAATAGCATTCAGTGCCTCAGGTACATTGACAAGTTTGAGAAACATCTTGGTGAAAGCTTATATATTTTTAAGCTTTGGTACAAAATTAGCATGGAGTTGCATGAGATACTGTGCAAAGTGTAAATCTTGTTAGACATTGACAGAAAAAATTCCATGCTCACTGTAGATATCTATAATAAAAAATTCAAAGTTTTGTCAAACAGGTAGTAATGATTCAAGGTTTGTAAACTCCAGGAAACATTTATAACCTCAGATTACAGCCTTGCTAGATATGAAGCTCCTTTGGTCTGCCTCCTGCAAAGTGATGAATTGTGTAACAACTAAATTGAAAAGCTTCATTGTACATTTAAAAAGCCTTTTAAAAACAACTATTATTTCCAGGAACTTAAATTGAAAGATGAAGAATGTGACAAATTATTGAAAGTGCGAGATCAGATGGGGGAGGAGTTAGAGGATTTAACAGCAAGTCTTTTTGAGGTAAGTACAATATCAGATGGAGGAGGAGTTAGAGGATCTAACAGCCAGTCTTTTTGATGTAAGTACAATATCAGATGGAGGAGGTGTTAGAGAATTTAACAGCCATTCTTTTTGAGGTCATTATGAGATCAAATGGGGGGAGGAGTTAGAGGATCTAACAGCCATTCTTTTTGTGGTAAGTACAAGATTAAATGAGGAGGAGGAGGATCTAACAGCCAGTCTTTTTGAGGTAAGGACAAGATCAGATTAAAGAGAAGTTCGAGGACCTAACAGCAAGTCTTTTTGAGGTAAGTACAAGATCATATGGGGGAGGAGTTAGAGGATCTAACAGCCAGTCTTTTTTTTTAGGTAATTACGAGATCAAATGGGGGGAGGAGTTAGAGGATCTAACAGCCAGTCTATTTGGGATAATCTGAAGAGTTTTAAAAAAATAAAACCAAATATAGTTCTGATCTTAAGTTGAAGGAAAACATATAATGTTAATGTGTACAAAATCTATAAAAGAGAGGCAAAAGATATCAAAGGGACGTTCAAACTCATTAGTAAAAATAAAAAAACTGACAATGCCATGGCAAAAAATTAAAACAACAGTTTACAAGTCACAACATACCAAACCAAAGACTGAGCAACACTTACCCCACCAAAAACTATAATTTAGGTAATTATGTTTTAAGAAAGTAATAAGATATCTCTCCCTGTTGAAAGTATGTCAGAAGGCCATTGATATTGGTATGTTTAAATAAATATTTCCACCTGACAAGGCAGCTGCCATATTTCTCCTATTTTTGACATCACTACTTCTATTCTGGTTTCATTCAGTATCAGTATAAACACATCTCACATTTTCAACATGATGAACAAAAAACCTTCACTTAGTTTTTATGAACAGAGAAAAACATAAATATGGGTTAAGTTATAACTTATAACCAGAACATTAGGCTGAGGAAATTCTATCATTCCTGTTTACCAAATACTTAATACGGAACTGGTATCATTAGTGATCAATAGCTCACAGTTAAACTTCGGATTTTGCACTAATGTCAGGAATTATTACACAATCATGTTCTTTTGGTTTTGTTTGGCTTTACTGACTTTAAAAACAAATGCTCTCTGACGTGTGTCTACTTCAATATTTCCATTTCTCTGGCACCAATGACTGGGTACATTTCCAAGTGTTTTTTTATCCTGAGGAATGTTGTGGTTCTTTTTGGGTACTCTTAGCTTCTTCCGCCAATAAAACCTGGCTGCCATATTATAGCAGAGTACTGAAACTGGCATTAAACACCAACAATCAATCAATCAAATTGCGAGTTTAGTAACATGCTGACTGATGATGACCAATTTTCTATAGCTTTTGTAGAATTAATTTACTATATTTCTAGACTACAGTTGTAAGTGCGTGGTAACACAAATATTTTCTTGTATTTTTCCACAGGAGGCCAACAACATGGTGCAAGATGCTAACATTAAAAGAATGCATTCAGAGAAAATATTAAAGGAAGCAAATGAACAGGTTTGTTAAAAAAAACCAAGAATTTTCAATTTAAAACAAAAACATTTAAATCTTTTTTTTTTGTTCAAACATGAAAAATCAATAGTTTTAGTTAACTAATTATGATTATCTTCCTTTACAATTTTATGTTGAAAGTACTTTTTTATGGTAATAAAGATTAACAAAAGAAAATAGTCTTTTGATCAGGAACATATTTGGGGTTTAAGACTACAGAAAAAATGGTGCTAACAATTTCTACTGTGGTGATGAGGGCTATTCCATTAAAATGTATGTGGGTGGGTAGGAAGGGACTTTCTAAATATCCCTTTAACCAAGAACCATTTTTGTCGAGCCTGCGACTTTTGTCGCAAAAGCGAGACATAGCGATCCTACATTCCGTCGGCGGCGGCGGCGGCCACAAATATTCACTCTGTGGTTAAAGTTTTTGAAATTTTAATAACTTTCTTAAACTCTCCTGCATTTCAACCAAACTTGGACAGAAGCTTGTTTATGATCATAAGATAGTATCCAGAAGTAAATTTTGTAAAAAAAAAAATCCTGTTTATCCGTATTTTACTCATATATGGACTTAGTTTTTCTGCCAGTTAACATAACATTCACTCTTTGGTTAAAGTTTTTCAAATTTTAATAACTTTCTTAAACTATCCTGGATTTGTACCACACTTGGACAGAAGCTTGTTTATGAACAAAAGCTAGTATCTAGAAGGAAATTTTGTAAACATTTATTTCCTGTTTTCCGTATATTACTTATAAATGGACTTAGTTTTTCTTCCAGTTAACATTACATACAGTCTGCAGTTAAAGTTTTTAAAACATTTATTAGATTCATAAACCTTCTTGGATTTTTACCAAACTTGAACAGAACTTTTTACAATCAAAATAATTTTTTCACCATTTTTGTTGAGCCTGCGACTTACAGCAAAAGTAGGCAAGACACTGGGTTCCGCGGAACCCTTACGAATTTTTTAGATAATTTTGCATAATGGTAATAGACGCATACTGAAAAATGACCCATGACCCACATTCAATAATTAAACTTCCCTTCCTACCCTCCCACATACATTTTAATGGAATAGCCCTTAGAGTAGACTTGTCTTTAGAATAAAATAGCGATAGATCAAGAAATATCACAGAGAAAAAAAATATAGTATGGTTAAGACTAAGTTAACTATCGTACATCAAAAAAAAATTTAAGACACTTGCTGAAAAAAAATGGAATATTGGCTAAACCCTACAGGTCTACATGTCAAACCTATTTTGGGTAATATGTAAAACAAACTTGAAAGATTTTTCACTTTTATCCATATAAACCTTAAGCAAATTCTTAAGAGCTGGAAATAATTTACATCAATAGAAAATCAGACAAAGGGCACAAAAGCAAGTGGTAAGAGGTACTTCCATTGACAACACTGACTAATTTTAGTTGTTTCTGATTCTGCTTTTAACCAAAAATGTTTTATTTTTGTAGATTGATGTATTGCAAGCAGAATTAAAGGCATTAAAACAGTTGGTCTTGACATCAACTCCAAGTTCCCCAAACAAACATCTACATCCGCAGATTGATTCAAAAATAGAAATGCGGAAGAAGGAAGAGAGTAAGAAACCATTTTGGAAAACACATCGACGATCTACCAGTCACCATGAGTTCACAAAAGAGGCTCGAGAAGGGGCAATGGCAGAACAAGATGCTAAAACAGACAGGTGTAATGAGGTACGAAGAAATAATCTCTTGGTTTTCATGAAACTTTTCTAAAGACTAAAAACAGATTCTACAATTCTAGCTTGTTTAACTTGATTAAGCTATATAGGGGTAAATTCAGTAAAAAATCTCCCATTGACTGTAATGCTAATCTATGTCTTGAATTAAATTTATACCTGATTTACCTTTAGAAATTAGAAAATTTCATATATCATTCATGAAAGTATAAATGTAGCCCTATCATTTGCAACAATAAAAACATAGGGTCATGCGGCATTTTTGGGCCTTCACATGGCCTTGTTTACAAACACTGTAGATTCGCACTTAATTCCTTCACTGACCCCCATTACTTTTCAACCCTGTAGTAAAAAAATTTAGTACATTCAGCATTTATTTTTTTTTTTTTTTCAACTCTAGTTTTTATCCATCTATCAAAAAATATTTATTACAAACATTATCTACCAATCAGAAGAGCACATGACTTCAGTTTTATACAGAAAGCTCTCCCCCAAATGGGCGGTCCCTGATGACATATATTTATTTACTGAATTTACCCCTATAAGGGACTATTTAGTAGCTTTTCCCTCTTTTTTTGTAATAATCATGTAATGTATCCAATTTTTAAGTTCCAGTTCCAATACAACATTCATAAATGCTGAACTTGTAAAGATAGAGGAAAATTTATACTACAGCCCATACTGCGGCCAATGTATATTTGGTATATAAAGTTGCATATTGACTGTTTGTAAAAGAATGGTGTAAAATACTATGCTTAATAAATATGAATTGTTTTCTGTGTTTGCTTTGAATAAGAAAAATATGCACCTCTTGCTTCTTTTCAAGTGTCACAGGACCATCCCATACAATAATTTCTGGAATAACCTAAATTATAAAGCAAACACTTTTATCATGATTTTTCCATTTACTTACTCTTTTTTCTTCCAGTATTGCAAGTACATCTAGAAACTAAAGTCTTGATGTACTCTTAGTTAAATTTTGCCTTATATGGAAGTGTTTGATTAAATACCCTGAAAAGACCACAAAAACACTTTTCAAAGGTTTTTTTAAGCAGTTTCATACAGAAAAAACCAACAATTATGTTTCATTTTACTAAATTTGTGTTTTAATTACTTGTAAAGTTCACAAAATGTCATTGACAATCACTCTGCAGAAATTCCTGTTACCCCAACATCAGGATGGTTTCTTCGCCAAAACTAGACAGACAAAACTGAAGTAGAAAAAAATGCCAAATATGAAAAAATAAGACTGGGTATGACCAAACTTTGCATTTGGAAAATTAAAGTAACAATTTAGAATATTTAAAAGCAATTATTTAACATAGTAATCCAATTACAAACATTTCAACACTAGTTTCATAGATGAAGGGCATGTAATCATAAAAAGTTATCTACAATTTTTTTTAAATAAAGAAACGCAATGCGTTATGTAAAAATAAATGAATATCTTCATGCGGTCAGATTATTCAAGTGTTAAAATATTTGAAAAGTGCTTATTTACAACTTGTTCTACAACTTAACATGGTGAAACACAGCTAAAAAAATACACTGTCAAAGGGAGGTAATTCTGATTTTCCATATGATTTTACACATAATGAGGAGAAATATGTGCAAAATGTGTTGTAAAATGGGGGGAATATTTATGCCTTTCATTGATATCATAACTCTCAAGTGTAATTTCTATTGTTTCGTTCAATCTGGACACAAAAACTGATTTTTACCATATACCCCATGCTTCCTCTCACAGTACACTCAGTGCATCTTGGATAGCCGAGTTAAACATAGAAATTTGTGTAAAAAACAACTTCAAATGGTTCCAAAATGCTTCCATTGCATTAATATTCACAGGAAATAAGTTTTGTGATTATTGTGTGGCCTTGAACAAGTACAGTGACAGAGTGCATATTTTCCTATAGGGGTAAATTCAGTAAAAAATCTCCCATTGACTGTAATGCTAATCTATGTCTTGAATTAAATTTATACCTGATTTACCTTTAGAAATTAGAAAATTTCATATATCATTCATGAAAGTATAAATGTAGCCCTATCATTTGCAACAATAAAAACATAGGGTCATGCGGCATTTTTGGGCCTTCACATGGCCTTGTTTACAAACACTGTAGATTCGCACTTAATTCCTTCACTGACCCCCATTACTTTTCAACCCTGTAGTAAAAAAATTTAGTACATTCAGCATTTATTTTTTATTTTTTTTCAACTCTAGTTTTTATCCATCTATCAAAAAATATTTATTACAAACATTATCTACCAATCAGAAGAGCACATGACTTCAGTTTTATACAGAAAGCTCTCCCCCAAATGGGCGGTCCCTGATGACATATATTTATTTACTGAATTTACCCCTATAAGTTCTATCAGGCAATCAAAAATTATCTCCCTTTGCAATTTTTCAAAGAAATTTCTGTTTCTTGCTTGTTATGTTAAAGTATAATTTGGTTTTGCATAATCAGGTTTATAAAGCCTAATCTAGCTATATAAACTTGAATTGTAGATTAACCAGACCTGTTAAAAGTTCTCTTATTGTAATAATACAGTTTTCATTTACAGTTTCACATGAGTTGTCTTTCTTTGTAGAAAGAGTTCTGTATGGCAAAAATTGAGCTTTATTTTTATGCAAACAATTCCATGGCACATAAAAATTATGTTGAAATATATGTCAATATTTTATAGAAAGAAAGCTTGAATAAATTTTTGAAGAATAAATTTTGATACACAACAGGTATCAAGAACCTGTTTTTGACAAAAAATAAAATAGATATTTATTTTGTCAATGTTTTCAAAAGATTATGATAATTCTTTTTTTCTTGGAGCTAAAAAGTTAAAAAAAAAAAAAACAATGACAAAGGTAGATAACTCTTACCTTTACTTTTGTAAATATCAATGAAACTGCAACCTAACAGCACAACTAAAGTAAAATATGAACACATTTATAATGGTCACCACTTGAAAGTTAGATATTTATGCTAAAAAAAGGAAACCTAGTTTTAGGATTTTATGGAAAGTATTGAATGCAATTACTATGAATTTAGAAAATAATGCAAGCGATTATGATTTTGAAATGACGAATCAAAATTCAAGATTGACTATTTTAATTTTATGAAAAGTGGCATACGGAAATATGTATCAAATAAACATGATATAAGTATTCTAGTTATTATTAGGATGTCACCGTATCGCATTATTCACATTTATGATAAAAACCTTGAAATAATTTCTAAATTTGCAGTAATTAATATTAGTGGTTTGGACAATGTATTTATAGATTGACCAAGTATGTTTTGATGAGTTTTGTGCCTGGAGACAATCACCCCTAATGGAAAGGAAAGATGGATACTTGCCAAGGGTTTATATGGAAGATATTTTACCATGTTTAAATTTTGCAAATTCAAAGGTATGTATGTGAAATGTTTTTGAATTAGTCTTAAAAAAAAAATTGTTGTTAATCTTTATTATTATGATTAAAAGAGATGTACTAAGGAAATTGAGACAGCGACCCATCAATGTTAGTTTAAAAATACATCACAAGGTCACCATATGGTCTTCAGATTCTTGTGGATTGTAATGAATGAACTGGTAATAAAATTGTATTTTAGCAAGATACGATTTGGTTCACATATAATTTTAACCAAATGGAATTGATATCATGGATATGGAACACAAATGAGACAGCAAACAAACAATCAATTTGACACAAGCAGACGTCTGACAATATGTTTTATTTTAAGACAGGAATTTCTGAAGAACTAAAGAACATAATTATATAAAAATGACAAAAAATGTTCCATAAAATAAAATCTTAATAATGGATTTAATTTTCCTGAATTTTACAAAATCTTTCTTTTACAGTTATCACAACGAGTACAGGAATGTGTAGGAAACAATTCCTTAGCAATAGAACCAATCCCAGGAGACACTTCATATCCACGCAAGTGTAGATTAACCGAAAATAATAAACTATGTAACTACAAAATTAGATTAGGCGATGATCCTGAGTGGTATTCTATATCTCAGCTGTGTAGAAATAGGGTACGTTTATATTGTCTGTATTTAATGGGATTTATAAGAAGCTTAGGGCTGTTCTATTTTTTAAGATAGACAAAGTGTGTAATTTGTGATGTTTTGAGGAAATGATAACTACCGTGCTTTACATATGGTATAATAACTATTTATATATATATATATTGTCTTGAAATATAACATTTAATGGTAGTTGATTAGTGGATCATTGAAGTAACAACGTTAACAGATAAGATAGAATTAATTTTTAATGCAATAATAACCATGACCTTAGCTAACTTATCTACACATTCACCCAAGTTCATCCATGTACTAGCTAGCAACTCTCATTAGAAATAACAGAAGGTCTGATTGCCTCAGTGATCTAGGTATTGTGTCAACATTTTCCTATACAAATCATTTCAATTTGTAATCACTGCTGTAGAGGTTCTTCCTCAGTTTTCTTTCATTTGACAAAGTAAGATGTACAATACAAGGCATATTTTTTTTCTGGGAATCTACAAAAAAATTGTAATTATTTCACCCTTTCAAAGGTTATTTGTTTTTATTATACTTCATGTCAAAATGCTAGAATTTGATTGGTTAATACGAGTGAGACAATTTACTCTATCCCATGGCAAATACTCTATTACCCTTCACTGAGACGCTTGATCAAGTGTGCGCTTTATCAAATACAGATGGTTGTTATGTACAAGACGACATAGTTTATTACTTTGAATTTGAAATTTAATAGACAGTAATAATTATACATTCAGTATAATAAATTAAATAACACATATCTGAGAGGGTGATAGAGCAGATTGTTACCTCTCGAAAAGACATTGTCAACTGAGGCGAAGCCAAGGTTGACAATGTCTTTTCTCGGGGTAGCAATCTGCTCTATCACCCTCTCAGCTATGTGTTATTTATATATTGTCCCCTGCAACGCCAATTTGTCAATTGGAATTCTGTTCTTTTATTAGTAATTGTTGAGTCGAGTATGATTTAGTTAAAAATGACATTATTAAATATTTACACATTTATTTCAATATGAATACCAGGAGATGTGAGGTATATGTCAATGAGAGAGAATGATTTATATAAATGTCCATATTTTAATTTCATTTTCTGTTTTATTTGCAGATTGCAGCTGTGTGTGATTATTATACTTATATTAGATATATACAACAAGGTTTAGTTAAAAGTGAAGGTAGGTTATTCAAGTTCTAACACAAAAATTACCATCAAAATCCATAGTGTTGAATATTTTTTAAACAAAATTACTAGGGGGTATCATATTTGAATTTTTTTTTCTGAAGAAAATTTTGATAAGGACTTGCATAGGACTTATGTTCCAAAGGTCTCTTCAAAAAAAAAAAAAGATTCAAAACAGTTTCTCTGGTATGGACACAGACCAAAAAAAATCTTGCAATCAAGGAAAATGCAAAACAAAGAAAAACACACAACTTTTGCCGATGAAGTGACAGGAATATTATCTTGTCAGTCATAGAAGTTTAATTTGAACATGGAAGCCAAATAAATAAAATTCTGTGCAGATGTTCTGTTTAGACTTCATTAATTTTTTTGAGAAAGGCGCAGAAATGTATGCACTTATATATGTGCAGTGAATTTAAATGGCGTTCAATTTTTTCTGTGTAGCACACGATATTTAATAATTTTGGTGGGAGGGAAAAAAGGAAAATTCAATAATGAAAATACACAGCAATTCAGGATGTCTACCCTGTGATTTGGACACATTTTTTGGGGTGAGATAGTTAAACTTGAAAATATAATTAATTGATGCAAGAAGATTAGGCATTTGTATTTCATATTGTGAAAAATAAGACATATAGACTAGAGTGAACAGGTTGAAAAGGGCAAAATGTACATGAAATGTTAAGCAACTAATACGTCATAAAAGGATCATGTTCTTTCATTGCAGACAAGGAAGTATTTTATGAATTGGTAAGATTGCGGAAAAAGATGGCTTTAACGAGACTTGGATATTCCTGAAAATGCTGACGTGTAGTGGCTTCAATCAAAAATCTTGCCAGTAGAGAAAGAAAGAAAACAGTATTAAATAAATAATGTGGCTAAATTACACCAATGTGAGGTCGAAGAGAAAATAAGGAATTTTAAGAATTAGAATGAAGGAATTCTCCACAAAGTGATATATTCGCTATTCAAGCCAGTAGACATCTTTATTGGTGCAAATGAATATCTGCTTTCAGGCATTTAATTTGTGTTTTTAAATCAATTGTGAAAATACGTAGTTCATTCTCATGTGTATTTTAAATGTCTTAATGATATGTCTCTGTGCAATGTGTTGTATTGTTTTATTTGTCTATAACTTACATTTTATGGTATTGGAAATTTGTGTATTATTCAAAATCTTTTACCTAGGAAGGAAATTGGTTTATAATTTAAAATCTAAGCTGAGCTGTTCAAGGTTGACACTGATCCTTTCTAGGTAAATTCTTGAAAGTTCACTTGTAAATGAAATTTATATTCATGGCCTTAAAAATACTTGGAAAGTTCAAGAATTTCACCAAATTGATAACTTGGAAAGATGATAAATTTAATTTTAATACTCGTCTTTATCTGTTGAAATTAGACTTGAAATGGAATATCTGCAATTAATTTTTGAATCCCCTGGGACTCAAGATTGATCTTTTGTGTAAGTATTTTTGAAACTCAATACGTAAATGTGTGCAATATTTGTAACGGTATACAGTGTATGTGAAAAAGTGAAAAATCACAAGAAAATGATTTGGTTAAGAGTAAAATCACCTATCTTTGACATGAAAAATGAAACGTATCACATGTTTACACTCTTGTATAATCAGATATTGACTTAAAAGGACTATTCCATTAAAACAAATGTGGGAGGGTAGGATGGGATGTCCAAAATTCCCACACAAGCAACATTCTGTCTTCGAGTAGCTTTGCTTATATGAGGGTCTCAATTGGGGGTCCTTCATTTCTTGAATCTTTCATTTTTTAGACTATTTTTCTCTATTACTTTTTTATTTTGCCCATTATTCTCTATTCTTTATATTTCAACACCTCCTTATTCTCTATTATTTATTTTTTGGCCTATTTTTTGTCTATTCTTATTTTTTAGCCATTCATTCTGCACTATTTGCCCATAATTCTGTATTCGGTAAACCTTATCTAGACCAGCTCATATCAAATTGACAAACAACTTTAAATGACCAACAACCATGACCCATGCCACTTATTCATTAAATTTCCCTTGCTACCCAACCACATGCAATTTATTGGAATAGCCCTAACTTGACTTTGAAATCAGAACTCTACAACAAAGTAATTCAAGCCTGCATAATTACAATCAGGGAAAACTGTATAAAAAATAGTTATCAGGTATACACAGATCATTTTATTGTGAAATATTTTTATGATTTTGTATTGTTTATTTTAAAACTTTTAAAAATGTCATTGAGGAACTTCAAGACAACTGTTTAATTTTTTAGGAATATTTTTATGAAAAAAACTAATTTTGTATTATTTTTTTTTTTAACTTTTGAAAATATCATTGAAGAACTACAAGACAACTGTAATTTTTTTGTCTTTGGTAAGTTATAACCATAACATAGTGCCAACATATGTATGCAATAGTAAAACTTTAGAAAGTTGTGTGTTTGTGTGTCGGTTATCTTGTATTTATTTGTAATTACATTCATGGATAAGTTTGTATTTAAAATAATTTTATACCTTTCAAACTATAAAGATAATTTAGGCTTTACAAGATAGAAAACATGTCATTTTTTTTATGTTAGTTTTTCTCAATTTACCAGTTTTTCAAGGCTCTTTTTTAGTAAGTTAAAAATAAAAGATTCCAAAATTTTTATTTAAATGAAAAAATTAGTTTTTATTGGGTAAAGATTGCATGAAATGCAACCAAAACCCATTGGTACTGACTTGATATCTAAATCTTCCTAGGTTTATCACTACTTTTGACATACACAAAATATAGTGCATTGATCATAACATTCTAAACATCCTAGCCATGAACATTTCTAGAAATTTATCAATGAATATTCAAGTTACAATGTGATGTTATATTTTTCAAGAAAATTACATAATGTGTGCAAAGTGCAGGGATCTTATATCTGTTCTAAAAACATCAATGAAGTCATTGTTTAAGTAATCTTTAAAATTGGAGTTATCTTCCTTTGTCCATAATCTACAACTAATGCTTTATACAATGCAATGTTTAATTTTACTTCCCACTGATAAATTAAAGCAATCTTTATCCTTCAGTGCTTACAAGCACTTTGGTTTTAAAATTAGAGTAGACGCATGAAATTTTAGACGGCATTTATAGAAATCTTAGATATGGTTAAGGGATTTTTATGTTGAAGCATTGTAGGGATAAAGAGAGGCATAACGAAGCACTACGATAAAAGTGATTTGAGGAAATGCTCTATAGTTGAGGGTCTGGATGGGGTTTATAGAATAGAGAATAATGAGCTTATGCTACAGAAAAATGGGCTAAAAATTATAAAAAAGAAAAATAGGCCCAAAAAATCAAAAGAATAATGGGGTGTTAAATATAAAGAATAAAGGGCAACACTTACAAATAATAAAGAAAAATGGCTTAAAATTAAAGAATACAGAAATGAAGGACCCCATATCTAGACCCTCATAGTTTGGGACTATGTACAAACATGGGAGCACAGCATTGATTTTGCACATTAATATAAGCTGTTTTTGAAAAATACATAATTTTTTTTGTGTTCCATACATCCTTGTGCTGCGAGTTCTCATTGTAATTTATTTGTGTAGGTTGTCAAATAAGTTGTATATATATTAATATCAGTTGTAATATATAATGTACTTACGTATGTGTATACATTTATTTAAAAAACATGTTGTATTATAGTTTACCTTGTTTTCGGGTATCAGGAAATTTTAAAAATCAGGATTTTTTTTAGGCTATCTTTGAGTGTCATAATGGCAATACAGCAAAAGAGTTTATATGTCTACTATTGTAATTGCTTGTTGTTAATGTTTTCTATATTTTAATGAAAGCTTTTTAAAAAAAAACCTTACCTGTTGCAGTCAATGCTACCCAGTTGTGACCATAGACAAATGCAATGTGAAATACCTATTAAATTTGGACTGTTTCACTTGCAGAATTTTTACTTGAACGCTAACTGTTTTAAACAAAAAGCTAAATTTTCCACTGGCAAAAAAATCTTTGGACAGATGAGTTGTTTTTGCTGTTAAGGATTTAAAATTATGTTGAAACTTTTATGAAGGTCAACTTGTTATTTGTATTTGTTTATTTTATGTAATGTTAAAGTTAAAATTTTTGTTAAATAAATAATTTTATTGTTTTTAAATCAATTTCAATTGTTGGGTTTTACAGACACAAAAAATGTGCATTCTCATATTTCATTTAAAAAATGTAATCACTTGATAAACCATAATCAGAGAAATCATGATAACCTAAATCAGACATGTTAATGTTAATTGTTAATGTTGTTAACAGGTTGTGATTTTTCAAAGATCAAAGGAAATTCAGAAAACGTGTACTTTGTCTCATTAATACTCATATGTTAAATTTTATAAAAAGTTTATTTGTATTTTTATAACACATAGATAAATATATGCACATAGAGGTTGTTACATGATAGCATATGTATTAAAATATAGGTGCTTGTTTTATGTATATAGCTTTACGTGTTGTGCTCATACCATATTTTTATGTCCATTTTAATTGCCGAGTCATCAGTTTGTTGAATTGATATGTCACATTTGAACTGTTGATATATTGACATTCAATTTTCTGGAATATGAAATTCGCAGAAGAATATATAACCAGCTTTTGTAAGGCCATAAAGAAAATATTCTCAGATTCTGTGAAGCTCATTCATAATGAAAATATTCTAAGATTCAGGGAAAATAATGAAGTAAAAAAAATTATCCACCGACTCCATTTATTTAAGAAGATGCATGAGGTCATTACATTCATAGAGGTGTTAAAAATTACAGCAGACGGGCAATATTTGGTCATGATTAATCAAACTATGTTAATTAACAAATTATAAATGAAAGAATATAGTAGATGTTAATATTGCTCTTTTGTATTTGAAATTTGCTCTAATTTTTAAGAAATTAATCTCACTGACAGATTGAAAATTGTTACAGATGTGAAAATGCTGGCCATTGAAAAAAAAATAATTTGAAAAATATAACAGTGCTACCATAAATCTTAAATCATAATTATAAGCTTCATGTCATGTTTATTTAAGACAGGGTTTTATTGGCTTTTGAATTTTTATGTATTTTTTTTTATTTTAAGAACGAAATTCTATAAGTTTGCTTCAATAGAACCTTGGAAATTCAAAATTTGTTTGTTTTTTAACATTTTTTTTCTTTATTTAATCAAATTCAGAATAAAATTTCCATATTTCATTGACCTCAGTCATTGACCCTGAGCTGGCTCTGGGTAACATGTATATCACATCCTATAAGTGACATTTTAATAGTGTATTCAGTTCTGTATATAGATTTTTCACATTTCAGGCATGTTAAAAATTTGCTTTAAGGCTAAAGTGATCTGTTTGTCATTACTAATTTTCTTATTGCGCAGTCATTTAAAAATTTTCCTGTATTGTCCAATCCAATTGATTGATTTTGGTGTTTTATCACAACTTTTTGCATACTTGACCATTTCATGGTTGGTCAGTTTTTATTGCTGGAGGAAGCCATAGTATCCAAAGGGAACCACCAAACCATGGCAGGAAAACCAGCAATCCGTGTCAATTAACAAATTCGGAGTAGAAAGCACCTTGCCACAAACAGGGTTTGAACTCACAACCGCAGTGTTGACCAGACTAATGATCACTGTAGATTAACTACTTAGACCATTGAGCAACCAAGGCCCCATGTGTTAAATAGAGAATACCATATGGCTTTTTCAATATCACACTCGTATCAACCTGAGACACCAATATAATCCCAAGAGCTCTGCTCGAGGGATGATATTGGTTGAGGGTTGATAGGGTGTGTGATATTGAAAAAGCCATATCATATACACTTTATTATATACTTCAAGTAGATATTTTCTCCTGTAAGTTGATGTAATACAGATTAGGGGTTTGATAAAGCCTTTACAAGCGTGACTGATATCAATGATGTGACGTCATAGAGTTGAAGGGGTTTGATTAAGCTTATGTAACCGTGACTGATATCGATATCATCAGGGATGGTTGATACAGCACGATTGTCATTGATTGTATTACACATACAGTATACATGTATTTACTACTAAGTATATAATAAAGTCCATTTATTATCACTTTTATTGAGAATCTGTATTCTGATTGAAGAATACATGTATTTCCCGGGTTTTTTTCTTGGAAAATTACTAAGGGTGATCATTGTGATTTTTTAAATTAACTTCATATAGGTTGACTGCATTTGTACTATGTAAGAAAAGAGAATGACATATGAACTTAACTTCAATAATATATTTTTAAAACCGTCAGAAAAATGTGCTCAAATGATTTTCTTAAAACTAGGATGATTGACTTTTGGTCCATTTTAATTGGGATTTATTATTTATGATATAGTTACTGTACATTTTATCAGTTGTTTTATCAAGATTTTGCATCAGGTTGAAAAAAAATATGTTAGTGAATAATTTTTTAGTATTCTTTTATTGTCAGTTAACATATACATTTTGCTGTCAAGAGGTCACCTTCTTGAAAGTAACAATTTATAAGATACTAAGTGGCATTGCAGATTGTAAAATTAGTATTCGTTCAGATTTAGTGTGAAGAGAAGATATATGTTTTATTTATTCATTTATTTGAAAAAAAAAAGGTAAATTAATGAAATGCTATAAAGTTACATTCAAGCCCACATGAATTATTTCTATTCTTATAGGACAAATATGGCATTTCTTTTGGATTGAAACAGTCTAGGTAAAGACAAACATTTGCCATTCCCGTGATTAAATACACTATTAATATTGACGTAAAAGAACGAAGATAACTGAACTAGTGACATGCTTATACCATTTACAATATCGTACTTAGATAGGTTTGGATCTCAGAATTTAAATGAAATGATAATCTTACTTAAAAGTAAAAAAAATGGCTTTTAACAAATTTTATCATTGTTTGTTTATGTTTCCTTGTTTTGATGACTCAGTTTCACAACCGTGCATTTCCCCGTAAAATGCTAATATTCTTACATTATCGTTCAATGACGTCATTAACACCAATTGACGTCGGGTAGCTCATTCATAAAAATGCATATGAGGTGGGAGTACGATTGGAACAGCCCAAACAAATCATGAGGTTGCCGATCAGCTGATATACAATATATTCATATTTTACCATGGGTGTGTACTCAAAACGTTTGATGAACATCATATTAGAATTTGATTTGAACATGCAATTTTTTGTTCCTTAATATACTGAGTGTCTATGGAAACACACCAACTTGTATTTTAAAATTAGATGAAAATAAAAGCTGCTTTGAATGTTAAACAGTTTCTGTAAGATTTTCTGATTTTATGGGAAATATGCATACTGAACTTTCTTGGTATTTTTTGTTCCAACAGTGCATTCCTTTTTTAAAATGGAAATATTAATAATTTCTAAATTTTTTTTAACAAAATATTAAAAAATTATTTATATGTCAATTTTTAACCTTAATGAACCTCTTAAGCAACAAATATAACATAGTGATGTAGTTTGGTCCAGTGTGATAACATTTGGATGAAAACTTCCAAGTTATGATTTTTGCCACTATGAGACCACATCAAAAACTTTTTCACAGTTATAGATATGCAAGACCAAACTATTTTAGTAACATAAAGCCAATTGTTTAAGGAATGGCTCTTAAGAACTATTTGTATTTTATTCTATAAGAGACCATAGGGGATTGGAATAAGACCTGTTTTGTTTCTGTAGGCACTTAGGTATATTTGTATCTGATGCTTCCATACAACTTTATAGTATAGTATTTACTGAAAAGATGACTTAACATTTTATCAAATACATCATATGTTGTCCTCTTTTAATTTTGAAAATCTTTAAACAATGGCCATATATATATATGTACATATTATTCTAGAATTGTTAAATAGTGACTGATGTGATCTGGAGTGGGCATTTAAATATGAAATCTCCAAATGAATTTAGTGATTAAATCATGTTTTACAATTTAAAGTGTTTTTTTTTCTCAATGCAATATTTTATGTCCAATTTGCCATTTCAAAATCTGAAGGACTTTTGAGTTATTTCATTGTTTTATCCCAAAATGAAAATAATGCCATATCATTGGTTGAATTTAAATTTGTTTAGGACATTTTTCACCAATCACAGCATTTTGGTGTATGCTTTTTAAAATATTACCCAGAATGCATTTGATTCTAAAACTGCAAATTAGTTGATTTGTATTTATAATACAGTGAAATTTGTCATAAAAAAAAATTTGGGACTTTACATTCTTATAGTAGACTTGTTCTGTTAAAACAGGTTAAATACTACTCTGTTGTCTTTATACAGGAGTTCTGATTTGACAGGTTTCAAGTTTAAACAGGGCTTGTTTGAGCTAGATTTCAAAATTTGTATCTTCCCTGTCCATAGAAGTGTAAATTGTATTATTAAATCAATCATGGTAATTTATGAATGATGAAATCAAATCAGTTTTTTATGGCTGCTTTGAGATACAAGTTTATCATAGAGAATTTCAGTCACTCTTGATTTCAATTTGCTATATACCAATTTTGAGTTCTGAGACTGATCCCAATTTTATGATGGTTGATCTTTGAAAAAGTAACTACTTTACCATAGCGAAATACTACAGGTAAATGTTTTGTTTGTAAACAGCAGATCAACTTGAAGAGGTGCGGATCCAGGATTTTGTAAAAAATATGCATTTATCATATATGTAGCTCTGTAAGTGGACTGGCCCCTAAATCTGCCTCTGTTGAAGGTGTGTATAGTTTTGCCTCTCTTTTCCAGCTTAATATTCCTGTTTAACCATGGTATCTTGTTCTGCTGCAGTCCTAGTTATTTAAAGATAACAACACATATATTTTTGATTTAGCCAAAAGGTGCTAGCATTTGTTATTTAATTGTCAAAAGGTCTTTCAAACAGCTAAATCGATTTTATCTAGACACTCTGAATGAAAATGATATTGCAGAAAAAACCAAGATAGTCTCTAGTTAGTAAATTCTGAAAAATGTCTATGAGGTATAATCTGCATGTGATTTTAGGGTAAGGATAGGTTCATTATCCCTGTTGGAATTACAATGTATGTTAAAACTTTCTTATCTGCTGTTTTTGCCAGAAATAAAAAGTCAACAAATGGGTTCTCCTTTAGGAAATCTTGTTGTAGACACAATTTGTCTTAGAAGGTTACACTTGCAGCTTCGAAAATTTTGAGAGATAAAAAATTAACAAAAAATGTTATTCTATTGCATTTAATTTTAAATCACACAGTTATCTTTGGATGCCAAAGCTTGCTATATTGTCATATAGGACATGTTGATTATATTTTTAACCGAATGTAGCTTTAATTATTATGAATAGGTATATAACAAAGCTGGAAAAAAATATAGCAGATAAAGCAAAATGCTCAGTCCGGTATAGAGACGACAAAACACACCCAATTCAAACAGCCAACTCCTCACATGAACATGATGTGTCTTGTCCAAAGTCAGGAACTCCTCAAATGAACATGATGTGTCTTGTCCAAAGCCAGGAACTCCTCACATGAACATGATGTGTCTTGTCCAAAGTCAGGAACTCCTCACATGAACATGATGTGTCTTGTCCAAAGTCAGGAACTCCTCACATGAACATGATGTGTCTTGTCCAAAGTCAGGAACTCCTCACATGAACATGATGTGTCTTGTCCAAAGTCAGGAACTCCTCACATGAACATGATGTGTCTTGTCCAAAGTCAGGAACTCCTCACATGAACATGATGTGTCTTGTCCAAAGCCAGGAACTCCTCACATGAACATGATGTGTCTTGTCCAAAGCCAGGAACTCCTCACATGAACATGATGTGTCTTGTCCAAAGTCAGGAACTCCTCACATGAACATCATGTGTCTTGTCCAAAGTCAGGAACCTCATCGGTTGTCTAATGTCATATCAAAAGTTTGGGTTTTGATGGTTTCATATTTTTGGAATGATCTGGGTTATTTTGACCTTGATATTACATTTGGACACCTGTTTATTGTTGATCGATTAATTGCTGTTTCATTAACGTCCAGTGGCAAATAGTATACGCATATTCAGGTCAAGAATAATTCTTACATTAATAGAAAGGTTCCCCAAAGTGGATGGACCGGGACAAAAGACGGGAAAATAAAAGAAGCATCAAATTGGAGGTCCCCTTTCCGAATGGACGTGAATGCGTATTTATTTATCCTGTTTATCCAAAAGGACGTCCCTTTAATTATAGCATGGATCTAAACGTAGGACAGACGAGAGCTACATTTAGCCGACCATTTGAGTATACCCAGTCAACTCCTGGGTCATCTATTATTGGACCTAATTTTGAAGTGTCCATGTTGTATTCAGTTCTTTTTGTTGTCTTCGCAGCTGTCTCGTGTAATTTTGATATGAAGAGAGAGATTTTGGGTATACGTCAATGAAATGGCAACAAACAACAACAAAAACCAAAGACATCTAGAGTTCAACATGAGGCCCCAATAACAGACGACACAGGAGTTGACGAATAAGACGGGAAATGCATGACATTTTCATGGCATCCTAGAATAGACGGGAAAGATACATGACGGTTGGTATCCTTAATAAGACGGGAGATTTGTATGACGGTTGACATCCTTAATAAGATGGGAAATATACATGATAGTTCGTATCCTTTTAAACAAGACGGGAAAGATTCATGACGGTTGGAATCCTTAATAAGACTGGAAAGATTCATGACATAATAAGACTGGAAAGATTCATGACGGTTGGAATCTTTAATAAGACTGGAAAGATTCATGACGGTTGGAATCTTTAATAATACGGGAAGGATTCATGACAGTTGGAATCCTTAATAAGACGGGAAAGATGAATGCCGGTTGGCATCCTTAATAAGACTGGACATATAAAACGGGAAAAACGTATGACGGTCGGCGTCCTTCATAAGATGGGAAATATATGACGTTTGACATTCTAAATTAGACGGGAAAGATGCATCACGGTTGGCTTTCTAACAAGACAGAACTGATGTATGACACTTTGCGTCGAACTATGGTATGTTTTCATACGACAATTTCTGGTGATTTTAAAATTTGCCAACATATTGTCTGAAATCATAATCAAAACGGATTCTTCTACTTTATTGGTACAAGCATGCGGCATTTATCTCATGACGTTACGCAGATTTTTTTAAATGGATCTAGATAAAAGAAAATATAGAAGTTTGGATCCAAAGTACAATGCTATGAGTAATGATCAGACTTGAATGTATACTATGATCAAATGACAGTCTCTTTAGCCCATTTAACATTGCATTATGGTTAAATATATTCCAATTATCAAATAGAAACATCTAATGTGTTAGTTTAATTTTCTAGAAAAAAAATTAATATGAACAATTAATTAAAGTAAAGGTCGTGTTTCATTACTACGCGAAATACATATCCTCTTTTCTTTTGAAACTTCAAAATCAAAATTTAATTATTTATTTCTGTTCATTGCCACACTACCCAGAGTTCATTGCGTAACAATTATCACGCTGTTAAAGATAGATAGCATCCTTAAACACTGACAGCAGGTTAATCAGAGTATAATAAAAAAAAAAAGAATAAAAAAAACATGTGCGAATTGATAAGAAAATGATTTCTCCTTTCAGGTGAGCTTTGATGAATGTGATTCAAGATATATATTATATAGTCTATATTTTTAGAATTATAGATCAATCAATTGATGGGAGCAACTGGCATCAAAGCACACATACCGAAGTCTGGTGAATTAGAGTGTTGTATCTGTTCTAGCAATGTTTACTTATTGACGTTTGTACTTTGTTTATTTACATGTTTTCCTTGTTACAAACGTATACAAACAATAACCAATTATGATCAAAGATTTCGTCATTGCAGCACCGACCCGGGAAGACAAATGAAGTCAGGATTTTAACTGTGGTTTCACTTTTTCATATTTTCGTTATAAAAATGAGTTAGAAAATGCCAGGAAATGATGTTCGGTAAGTTTTAGTTTAATATATTTAAGATTGAAATTTTATATTTGAAAATTTAGTTCAAAGCATGTAAAATAACTTTTGACAATTTACGATTAACTATTAGTTAACAGATTTAAGTTTGAGCGTTTTAAATACGAACAACACACGAATTGTACTGCTTTTATGGACAATATTTCAAGATTTTTTTAATATTTTATTAAGACTTCAATGGACAAACTGTGCAACAAAAGGACAGAATAAAATATACAATGCACACTGAATGTGAAGAAAGTTAATACATATCAGAAATTGAAAACAATAACAATTCGCAATATACAAGGAGGGTTTCAATGGTATCAATTAAAATCATTTATGTTCTTATTCAATACTTCAAACGAACATAAAGCATTTACAAAGTAAAAACTCAACACAGTTTTTGGTTATCAGCTCGCCCCGACAGCACAGAAAGCTTATTTTTATTATAAACAATAAACAAATGTCCAATTTGCTGTCATCGACCGCTGCCATCACATATAAACACAATCTACAATAGAAAAATGTTCTATAAGTTGAAGAAAAAATCATTTCGATTTACATACATGTATTTTATCAACTATTTTCTACATAACATACTGATTCACATTCCTATGAAGTCTTAATAAAAGGGGTGGGTGGGTGGGAAAACGAACCTTTCTGTCGGATAGGCGAACCTCGAATGACAATTCTAGATATCTTATTATAATTTTAGCGCTAAAATTCTAGCATGAAGTTATCATGATTGATATAACTTAAACCGGTAATAACTTACTGATGGTCCAATCAAATTAAACATAAACATGTTTTGATTTAAACACACGTGTTAAAAGTAAACAAATACACGTGTTCCCGAGTAACCTTTATAAATACATATTGCAAGTTCGTATTAATGAACTTGACAGAGAGAATCTTTTCATCGAAATTTAGAATTTCAATTCATATTTTTTGTTTTTTCTTAAAAAAGCAGTTCTTTATTAGCCTTTTAACTTTTTTATTGGATCGTCAATGATGACTCTTTTGTAGACGAAACGTGCGTCTGGCGTACAAAACTATATATAAGCCTGGTATCTTTGACGAGTTTGTTTTACTATCCACAACGTTTTTAAGGACAGCAAGTTTATTAGTTTGAATAACTTCTTGTACTTTGGCAGTTACTTTATTCTGAGCGACCATGTGCAGGGAAGAAAAACCACAAGTACATGATAGTTATAATTGATATCATTACTATCAGCTCAATTCTAAAAAGGCTGAATTTCTGAATGTTTGTAGTTCACGCATTTTTTAAACCAATCATAGATGTATAACTTTCTGATTTTAATATTTATGTATTTATTACATTATTTAATTTTGTCCGCAGATTTTCACTTAAAAACTTGATTCGATTTTCATTAAACCGTTTCTAGTTAAACTATTTCATTCTTTTAAAATTATCAACAAAGCAATTGAATTTAAACATGGAAGATAGGTTTTCCATACGATGGTGTGTGTATTTAGTGTACAAGTTGTCACACAAGCCTTCATACAAATTATAATTTGAACAAATTATTAGTATTTAGCATTTACAATTGAATGCTTCTTTTTGTAATTTTATCAGCATTGACCGAAGCATATTCTGTATGCAGCGTGTAAGCGCTTTATATCAAAAATGTGAGTACGAACAAGGACCCGACCCGTATGCATAAAGCTACTTAAGTTAAGATATCCAATCGTAATACTAATTTATTGTAGGACATGAAGAAAAATCCGTCCGTTCGAAACAAAACTTAACTTAAGTAGCTTTATGCATACGTGCCAAGGCTTTTACTACCCTGTAAAATTACAAAAGTAACATCAGTCAATTCTTATAATTCATTTATATCCCAAAACTATTAAATTACGAGTTATGCACATTTTGTATCAAGATTATCACTAGTTTTCCTATGCATTACAGTCATGAATGCTGAATTTTATTAAGAAATACAATTTTGATTTTAGAATGCCTCGCGAATGCTTTCAGCCAATCAAAAACACAGACTCCTATGAAACGGTAGCATTAATATTGGATAAAACAGGCACACTTTCTTTTATCTCACTTATCCGTGTCATATCTGATGACAACGTGCTATAGTTTTCTTCAAAACATTGATACAAAGTTGATATAAGATGTATACACATTTGTTAGTAAATCATCAAGCTATAGATAATTATCGAAGACATTTTTATTATCCCCAGCGGTGAAAGAAGGCACACATGATAACTAGTACAAATTTACAACTAGTACAAAACATATATATCAAACACATATAGATTCGGCATTGTGTTTGTGGTTATTTTAAGGTATGAACATTTGTATCAGTTATCTGAATGACCAGATGAAAATATTTCTGATAAGTATCAGAATACAGATTAGATATCCAATGATCGGAATGTTGCCTCCAATCATATACAACTTATTGGTTATTTAATGAAGAAATGATTAATTACATGGACATTTAATGTATTTCTGTGTGGTAAATCAAGGAGATTGTGATTATTATAACCTCCTTGGTTCAATCAAGCTTTTCATTTGAAGGGTACTTATATCAGTTTTGATGTAAAGGAATTATATTATTGAAAACATATAATGCTAATTAACAAATTGGCTAATAATGTAAGTAAGAAACAAGGGGGGGGGGGGGATTACTAATCTAAGGGTATATTAAAACTATTTAGAAGTCATAGAAAGAGAAAACTTCTTATTTTTTATATTGTAGACGGATTCAACTATTATTTGCACTCAATCCTCATTCTTCATCTGGAAAAAAGTTGCAAAATATGATGATGTTGTCTCTGTAATTTAAAATTAGATGATGAACTTTTAATGGCGTAGTTTACATTGCTTGCAATTTAAGTCATCTGAAATAGAAGGTACCATCATTCTTTTTTATTACACGAACGCGTCTTTCATAAATTCTTGGAATGATGAAGATGATGTAATTTTTTTAACATATGACATATCGCTTCTTTCAAGTTGATTTTTTCATATGTATTTTGAGTTTTTCATATGTATTTTATTATCACTCTATATTTACATGTAGTAATAAAACAGCTGTATCCATCATTCATAAGTAAATGTATTACAATCATTATGTCAATTATATAGTACTCGATAGTTTTTTGTTTTTTGTTTTAACTTTTAGTTCGTTGATCTCCATATAACTATACACACAGGGAAATATATTTTGAAGATTCATGCAGCTACAAAATTTTATCTATTTCACAACAAAAACCATTCACGAATAAGCCAATATTCCTGCAACTGGTTACTCCAAGGATGACTAGGGAATAGAAATATGGTCACTCTTGGTCGTCTTCCGACCGACAGTAAAACCCTTGCCAAAGTTGGGCGACATTTCAGTTGTGGGAGATGTATAGTTGCAGTCACGTCCGGTCAGAATGTTGATAATGTGCCACGCTCTCTGCACGTAAAGAACCTTTACAACGACTCTTTGAGGGACCCGTTGGTGGCCTATAGCAAGGCTTAATTTATGTCATTATCCAATTTACCATCCTTTTCCTGTGGCAGTCCAAAGTTCCCGTTCTTTATCTCGGTCGAATCCTATTACAGGACCTAACTATTGTATGTAACAGTATTATAATTGTTAATTTGTTCTCGTACTGAAAATGCATGAAATATTCGCCACTGGACGTTAATCAAGCAGTCAATCTTGCAACTGATCCAATATCTAAATTAAATCACAAGCTGTTTGACAACTGATATCAATATCACTCAATTTTAAAGATTTAACTATTGTTTTATCCGAATTTCATTTTAAGCATTTTGTTTTTAGCACCTGATTTTTGTCTCGCCTGCGACTTCTTTCACAGAAACGAGACATATGGATGGTGATCCGGCGGCGGTGTTTCTAATTACTTGAAAGCTTTTACATAGTGCAGAAGGTAGAAGACCTGGATGTTTCATACTTTGTATATAAATGCCTTATGTTATGAAGTTTCCGTCTGTCACATGTCCATTGTCCTTGACCTAATTTTCATGGTTCAGTGAATACTTGAAAAAAAAGTTAAGATTTTTTGTAATGTTAATTTCTCTCTTATTATGAGTAATAGGACAACTACATTTGGTATTTGCGTACCTTGCACGGTTTTCATGCTTGTCAAACAGTTTTCACTTGACCTCAACCTCATTTCATGGATCAGTGAACAAGGTTAAGTTTTCGTGGTCAAGTCCAAATCACAGATACTATAAGCAATTATAGGTCTACTTATGTTTGGTGTATGGAATGGTTTTAAGGTGTACCGTGTCCAACTGGCAGGTGTCATCTGTCCCTGACCTAATTTTCATGGTTCATTGGTCAATAGTAAGTTTTTATACGACCGCAAAATTTTTTTGCGGTCGTATATTGGTATGACGTTTGCGTCGTCGTCGTCGTCGTCGTCCGAAGACACATTGATTTTCGCACTAAAACTAAAAATTTGAATTGAGATTATGACCATATCTTGAGGGAAAGAATTTGTTGGGGGAAAAAAAGGGGGGGGGGGGGTAAACAGAAATTGTGGGGGTCAATTTTTTCTCATTTCAGATTTCAGAAATTAAAAAGAATTATTCTTCAAATATTTTTTTTTTTTTCAAATTTCAAATATTGAAAAATTTCAAGAATTAATCTTTAATTGCACAGTATGGCTCATTAGATTTGTAAAATCTTTGACCACATTTATTTATTTGTTATGCCGAATCTAACCGTGTATTTAGATTTTAATTTTGGGTCCAGTTTTCAAATTGGTCTACATTAAGGTCCAAAGGGTCCAAAATTAAACTAAGTTTGATTTTAACAAAAATTGAATATATGGGGTTCTTTGATATGCTGAATCTAAACATGTATTTATATTTTTGATTTTGGGCCCAGTTTTCAAGTTGGTCCAAATTGGGGTCCAAAATTAAACTTTGTTTGATTTCAACAAAAATTGAATATATGGGGTTCTTTGATATGCTGAATCTAACCATGTTTTTA